ATAGAACGTGTAAGAGGTCAGTTGATATATTTGTGCGATCATATGCAGGTATATCAAAATTGGATTAACTACACATGATTTAGATTCTTGTTAAAAATTATGCGTATTAATATATATATTTCGATTTGTTCCTATATATCAATAATTACTATAGATTATCTTCTCGTTTTACTAAAAAATGATTCAACTAGAATTTACACAAAAAATGAATCGCGTTTTAAGTAACATATACTTGATAAAATTAATAAGTCTAAAACCCTAAATACATTATAAATCACATAATCATATTCATATAATCGATAAATAAGTCATATAAAAATGGATACTATTCAGGATTTACGTGGTTCTAAATGTAGTGAAGAAGAATGGTCTGAATATTGCTGGATGCCACAAGTTCGCACTAATGAAACTCCTAGCGAGTGGAAAGAACGAATCTGGGATCGCTTACAGTATTTTAGAGAAAATGTTCTTTTACCTTATGAGAGTAGAGATTATTTTAAAGCGAGAAAATTAATACAATTTTCAGATGGTAATTCATATGCTCCTTGTATAGGAATTGTTATTTGTTTATCTTGTAACCAATTAGTACATACTGGAGAGTATATTAAAAGAATGGAGAGACACTGGAAATTTTCATGTACCGGTAATAAATATTGTAGAATAAATTATGAGGAATATATGAAAATTAAACAAAAACCTGAATCTGAACGTAATTTCGATGATAACACTGCATTAAATTATTATGAGCTGTGGAAATGTAATGCAATCAGTAGAATCGAACATGCAAGGGAGGTTGGAAAAAAGATCTGAGCATGTACCATCATACAAAAAAAATTTATAGAATATTATTATCGCCCTGATGGAGATTGTGCTACAGAGTTGGCTAATCATTATAAAATATTACGGAGCATTCGAGAAGAAATGCGTCAGGTTAATAGTGTATAGATGGTTTGTGAAATAAATATTTATCTATTTATTAATGTATAACTTATTTATCTATTTATTAATGTATAACTTATTTATATATAATTTATTATCTGAGGTATTCCCGAGGGTTAACACTTTAGACTTTTATGAAAAAACTCTCGCGTCTATGAAGGCGGATGCTACTCATTAAATTTCAAAACATGATCCCAACCTTTGCGTATATATAGAGGATCCTCCTTTGATCTGGTTAAATCAATTACTATAAATTCCCGGCCTTGCAAATTTTTATCGAGTATGTCAACAGCATTACGCCAGTTTTTTGTATATCGTCGGGCAATATTAACTAATTCATCATATGTACCTGCACCATTAAAAATAACGATATAATCCAAATTTTTTCTTATCAATCCTGGACAATCGAAAAAGCTTTGTGTTGTATATATATTACTAATATTATTATGACGCCCCTCAGTGAAATAACGAGCAATTTTTTCTTGTATTTTTTTAGGTTCGGTACATACATCTTCGAATAAAGCCAGTGTTCCTCTTTCTGGAGAAAAATCATCAACCTTTGGCATTTTATCAGGCTTCATTGCTCGAAATGTAATATCTTCACGATATGGGTTTGGACTATTTGCAATTATTTGATAACAATTTCGAAGGTATTTATATTTTGGCTCTTTAAGATGATGTCCGATTAAAACTAAATCATCATTTTTAATATACCTCGTTCCACCTTTTTTTCTGCTAAACATTCAATACGGTTTATTTCCAAGCAAAATATTAACAATCATATAAGTTTTTCCTGATCTGGTTCGTCCAGATACTAGCATATTGAAAGGCCATTGGGGGGTTGAATTTAATCCATTAAATCTTTCTGGATTTTTGTATTCATCGATATCAACTAGAAATAATTCGCATCGATCAAGTTTTTCAGTTTTTTTGGGCTTTTGATGCTGAGCTTTCTTCATCTCGTTTAGTAAAATTGTGAATAATCTTTATATATATATACCAGAAAAATTATTCTTTACAAGCTAAATATCCCTTTTCTTCCAATATATTTTTAATATAGGGAAATGGATCAGCCGTGTAGGGAATCTCAATAAGATCTATACCTTCTCTTTTACATAATTCTCTCTTTTTTCGATCACGTAGTTTTTGAGCTTGTAAATCGCTTTTCTGTTTATGAAACATTGTATTCTCGACATAATGATGGACTCCTTGGAATTTGAACGCCAATTTAAATTCTTCATTATATCCATCTAAGCGTAAACCATCTAGAAATTTTGGTGCACACGGTGTAAATTTTTTATCTAATAAATCCTCAAAAATATATCGACATCTACGTTCTTCTTTGAAATGAGGACAAATAGGACACCATTCAAATTTCTTAGCAATTAATGGATATGGATATTCGAATTGATGAAGCCCACAAGACCAGAGAAATACTTCCTCATCATTAATTCGACCGGTTTTTTCAAGACAACTTCCACCATGTTTCTTAGCATAGGTACAAGCTTGATCTAGATCATTATTTAAAACCAGAATAAAATGAACTAATCGGGGATGATTCTTTTCCGATAATATACTTTGGGGTGGGTATTGAAGCTTTTCTAAATCTACTTGGAAAAGTTCCTCTTTCACAAATCCACGCTTTGGTGAAAATTCATTGCCTTCAAGATAGTATAATACAGGTTCATTTTCCGTTACTATAATTTTTCAGATTTTATGAATAGATGGTGAAAATGTTGGATCCGTGGCTCTTTTCTGATTCTCCATACCTCCTTCCCATTCTCCATTGGCAAGTAAGTAACGAACTGTATCGCCCTTTTCTAACTTTTTTTCATCTCTTCCAACCAGACGTTTATATTTCGTAGATGGTCTAGATTCAACCTTTTCTAACTTAATTGCTTTTATAGGCGCTACTATATTGGATGAATTTTCAATTTTCATTTTAAGTTTGTCCATCAAATCCACAGGTAGGATGCCGTCAAACATGTCTAGTATAATATTTTGAAGGGATTTATCAATACGATTTGGTTTAACCGTGATAGTTCCGCTATTTTGTCCTTTATCAGAAGAAGTTAATTTTTTGCTCCGTTTTGTTTTACTCGTTTTTGTCTTCTTTCCGGAAGACGATTTATTAGAATTTTTCTTTTGATTTACTTTTTTTTTTCTTTGGCTTTGGTGATGTTAACGTTCAAACTTTCAACTTCAGATGAAGAATCACTAGAAGTAGATTCAGATCCATTATCAGAAGAGTTAGTATCCGAATCCGAATCCGAATCCGAATCTGAACTAGAATTTATATGAGCGATATTAACATTAGCTTTTCTCTTAGATTTGTTTTTCTTCTTCCGAGAACAGTTGCGGGAATTATGTCCGGTTCTATTGCAATTGGAACATCTATGACGAGATGATTTATTGGAAGCGCGAATACCTGTTTTTACCCCCTGTGCAACTCCTTTGGATATTGCCTTGTTTATAGATAACTTACTCATGCGATTGGAAAGTTCTTCATCAGAATCATCCTTTTGAGCCTGTTTTCTTTTAAAATATTCTCCGCGTTTATTATAACTTTCTATAAAATCTACTATAGGTCCATCCCGAAATCCTAAGTCGTATAATTCTTTAAATAATAAAGAATCATATATTGCTTCCATATCTTTTGGTGGTACAGTTGGCGGTGTCTTTTTTGGTACCTGTACTTGCTGGGGTTCTGAAGAAGGAATCATAGATTTTATTAGGTTTTCGATTTCAGACTTACTCATACCTGGATTAACTGAAACATTATCTTTATTCCCGTAATAATTAGTCACATTATCTTTATTCCCGTAATAATTAGTCACGGATTTTTTTGTTGACGTTAGATCTGAGATTGGATGTAAATAAGC